TTTACTCTATTTTGTTCCTATCTCCTATTCTCTTCTCACGTGTGATTTAATTGTACATCTTTCCAAAGAGTTTTCATTAGATACAGAAAATGGGCCATCTTGTTAATTGGCCCTATATAATAATGGCGAATTTGCACACATCCTACTCGATTTGCAAGAAATTGCAACTTTACGATTGATGGTATTTTAATTGCTTATGCACTAATTCATGGTGAATTTATTACGTAGATGTAGCATACCGTTTCCGAAATAAACGAACTCTCTCCCCTTAATTTAAGAATTGTATAACGGTTACAAAAATAAACTTAAAACCCTCCCCGTTATTTAAGCATCATATGCGTTTTAAAGAGTGAGAAAAAATTAAAAAAAATGTATTGTAATATATGGTAGGAATATTATATCCTAAAAACTCTCTCCACGACGATTTTTTTATTATCTTATCTCTCTTCCCTATATTCAATTTGATTTAAATACAAATATCTCTTCATAGAAATTTATAAACCACTCTCTTCTCTATATTCAATTTGATTTAAATGTAATTGTCGCTCCATTCCAATTAAATAAACCACTTTTTCTGGGTTAGTGTATATATCCTAATAAATCGATCTTGCCGATTCTATCCCGTAATATATCCAAAAAAAATCAGGTATTATTTTTGTTTTGAAATTGATTTATGTATATAGGTAGAATATTTTTTGGGTTTTTTCTGATATGATTATATATATTTTGGGGTTCATTTAAATATATCGAACATATACAAAACATATACTAAAAAATAACACAAGTCCAAGCGAACATATATCGAACATATGTATACCGAACATATACCAATTTCTGGGTTTATATATGTATATCGAATATATACCGAACATATACAGAACATATACTGAAAATATATTGTCTATACTGTTTAAAACCGCAACATAAAAACATATACTGAACTTATACTGTTTATACCCGCAACATATACTGCCGATTGGGCTTACGATAACATGTATTGAAAAATATACTAACGCAACATATCTCACAACATAACAAATCAAACGAAAAAAAAAAAAAAATTCTCAAAAAAGGTGAAACATCATCAATCATTAATAATACATATGTTGAAGGGGAGATAGGGGGAGAGAGATAGAGAAAATCTGCCACCCAAATTATATATATATGATACGTTATATATACATATACATAAAATGATTGAGGATATATTTAATTTTGAATCAGATCTCATTCTCATCGATGCCCATATACATACATACACATATACATACAATTAATCCTTCTTGGTTTCATGTCCATTTTCCACATTCTCATTTCTCTTAAGTTTATCATGCTCCTGTCATCTCTTTCAGAATCCCTATTCCTCTCCTCCCTTCTTGTACTCGATTTTTCACGGCTTTCATTATCATTTTCGGTCTGCCTTTCCCTTCTATGCCTGACTTCCGCCATGAACCCTAATATTCAGACTTCTGCAAGTGGGATGGAGAAGGAACGAGATGTAATTAATTATGGGAAGGAAGGGGCAAATCTAGGGTTGTTCGTCGGCAATGTCAAAAAGAAAACGAGAGGTCGAGAAGGTTAGTCTTACGGGCTGAAGTGAAGAATAAGAGAAAGGAGGCAGAGGGGTAGAGAGAGAGAAGAATAAGAGAGATAAGGAGAGAGAAGCATAATTTGGAGAAGAGAATTTTTTGTTTCCTTAAAGATATGTAATTAATGATTGAATTCATCATTAACTAATATATATGTTTTCTAGTATATCTACAAATAAAAATATAATTTTAGGTAGAATTGCTAATATTTACTATAGATGTTTAATTGTGTAACATAAAATGAAATATATGGTGTAGTGAGTAATTTTCTCTATAATAATATGCTAAAAACTCATTATTTTTTTTGGTTCGCTCACATAGATATTTTCATGTGCAGCTTTCAAAATGGACACGCAAGTGCCCTTTGATATATAATGAATCTACTTCGAAAAATTGGATGGGCTAAACAGGAACAGAAACAGGTATTGAAGCTGTGAATTAATTTTGTAGGCCCAATTAACTATGCCCAACAGGCCTGGTCGTCCCTGCCTGTCCAAGAGAAATTTAGCTGTGCTTCTTCTAACTGTGATTACATTCAACATAAAAAATATGGGCCATGAGAAGAATTACTAAACCCAGTTTTTCACCTTAGCCCAATGGCCTACGATTGTGAGAGGTTGACCCAATAGGCACGAATTTTATTCATAGAAATTGAGCGTGTAGTGTCACGACCCAGCTCGAAATGAGAGTGCTTGAAGGAACAAGCCCATGACCGTGGTCCGTGCTATAAATGAAACTGATATATTTTTGTGTCATTTTTTTTTTTTTAACAATAAATAATAAAACTATAAAATTTATTTATTTGCACATATATATAATTCGTAATATTTTATTTATTAATTTATTTAATAATCTTGATCACGAAATTGATTATAAATATTTGGTAAGTTGAAACATTAATTTGTTAGCTCGTGATTATTTATGCATTTGACTAGTTTTTATTTGGTTTATTATTTAACTATAGTTAATTTTGAAAAAAAAAATGGTATGGTTAATTGATAGTGAATATACTAAAATAATATTTAAATAAAATAATTAAAGTGATTTGATATAAAGTATGAGAAAAATGATTGGAAATGATAGTTAGTTAAGATTATGTGAGTGAATGAACAGTGAACGTGAAGTGCACCATAAGAGGATGAGCCTAGGTGCACCATAGTGATGCTCAATCCCAAAACCAATTAGTGAAAGTAGTAGTAGTCTTCTAGGCTTATAAGTTATGTCTATTTTTCCTGTATAAACAATGTGTGACAACTCACAAGTGATATATATTCTAACAAAGAAAATGTGTCAGAAAATTTCTAATAATCTATATATAAGTTTATTATATAACCTACAATCCTCACAATCAAACTTATTGTGAGAATTTGGGAAAAATATGTTGTGTATTATTCAAAAGACATGTACACATATATATAGGAACATAATGAGCCTAAATCTAATCCTACAAGATATAGACAAAATATATATTATAACCATATATACAATATATTCTAACATACTAATATATGCAATCCATATATAACATATATTCTAACACTTATATTTATTTTATTTATTTTGTATGGACCATCAATCAGCACTCATCCTTTTTGGACGAAACTTCTTGTTGTTGACACCACTCATAATTTTGTAGGAAAAAACTTTTGTTGCACATGATGTCAAAAATTGTGTCGCATGATGTTCGCATTTTTTCATAGGAATTAAAACCTTATGTGTAAGAATGTTATTCTAGTCTTTGGCTAGTTTAACAAATTAAAATTGATCGTGAACAAATTGTTCGCTATATATATAATACGGTTTCAGAGTTTTCAAACATATCCGTCGATTGACTGTTTGAAATTAACAAAAAACTAAACGGTTAGCTTGGCTCGACTCGACTCGTTAAAGCAGAAATCATCACAACTGCCCATTGGAAAGGAACGTGTAACCTTTATTTAAGCAAAATTGAGACTTTTTTTTGTTTACACTTGGTTACATGTTTACATCAACAATTGTATGGACAATATTTATTTTGCTTTTATTATCATTTGAAAAGTAGTGAGCCATGCACGTAATCTCCTTACAGATATCTCGTGCTTTTTCTATTATATATACTGTTGAGGCAAAAAAAAAGTTGGTCAATCAATCACCAACAAATTATGATAAAATTTGTGGACCTCACAATTTTGACTCTTTCAAGCACGGGAAATTAAACATGGAGGATTTCTTTACATGATTTTTGGAGCTCCAAAGTGAGTGGCTGCAAATAATTAAGGCTAAAGTTTATTGT